TGTGTGTGTGTGTGTGTGTGTGTTCACGTATAGGTATGAATTTGATCAAGTGTTAGACCACAGCGGGCTCTGAAGACGTGACTGCCTCAATCGACCCTTTTAATGCATCTTACGGTTATGACTGACAGCAGAAACAGGGGGGTCCAGAGACTGGAAGGGAGACAGAGAGAAACAGAGGAGCACTGAGAGAGTGTGTGACCTGAGCTGAGGTTCACATTTCACTGCAAAAACACTCTGCTCGAGTGTTCTTTTGAGAGAAGTGACAGATATTCGGAGGTATGTCAACATCTTGGGAAGTGTACACTGGTTAGACCGCTCAGGATCACACACATTAAGCACTCTTCTTTCACAAACGGACACACAAAGGCACACACAGGAGATTGCAGGATTTTAAATATGCCTCTCTGTTTTAGTTCAAGCTGAAACAACAGCAGCCCTGTTCATTTAGGAAGTTCTTTCCTCTCACTCTGACTCCTTTCCCCTCTTTCTGACTATGTCTATGGACTGGCAACAACAGAAGATAGGATTAAAGGATTTAATGTGTGGTAATAAAGCATAGTTGGCAAATCTACTCATCTATACTTTTTTAATTCATTGCTTGTGCATCATAAACAGAGAAAGACAGGGAAGGTGGGAGGGACAGTGAGATACCGAGCAGACACATTTTTGGCTGTGCTGCCACTGTGGAGTTCTCTCAGCCAATCTGTGAGTGTTAAGAGCATGGCTCATCCTTTGCCCTTGCTTCCTTTTTTCCATGTCCTCCCGTTTTCTCAAGTAGGCCTGTACAGTATCCCCCTTGACAACTCCTTGCTACCCTTCTTTTGAATTTCTCATATTTCCCTGTCTGTTCTGCCTTTGTTCCTTCTTCTTCACTCCCCCATCTCTCTCTTCCCCCATTTTCCTCTATTCAAGATGATTTCATGTCCAGTGGGTTCTTGGGGGAGCTGTAGAGAGTGAGGGGGACAGATAACTTTACAACAGCAAATTAGTAGCTTCGACTTGTGTGTGTGTGTGTGTGTGAGTGTGTGTGCCTGAGGGACAGGTCAGCTGGGACACACATCATACCAGAGCCATGAGGACAGGCTGATGGTCTGCCTTCTTGACAGGCCCCAGGCCTCACAGACAAGACAAGATTGGCCATGAACACCACGGGCGGGGGATGTGTGCTTCAGTGTGTGTGTGTGTGTGTGTGTGTGTGTGTGTGTGTGTGTGTGTGTGTTGGATAAAGTTGGGTAAAGGTACAAGGTTGGGAAGTAGAGATAGATGAACCCTGGACAGAATAACGCCACGTACACACTACACTCGCATCAAACCAATTTTTGGCCCGATTCTTCTCTCCCAAAAATCATCAGCAAAGCCCTGAAATATATGATCTGATAACTCAGAATTTACTCACCTCCAGCTCACGCTGTAATATGTACAGTCCACGTTCATACTGTCTCTATTACTTACTTTTTCTGTAAAAAGTAGTGCAAAAACTAACAGCTAGTTCTTCCTGCCTGTCAAGATTTCTGATTTCGAGAGTTGGGACTCGGGTTGTTTGTGAATGGAATCTCAAAGTGTGTTGTGTGCTGTTTTGGCAAAATCATTGCCTTTCAGGAACAACAGGAACAAAACTATTGATTTATCATCACATGTCGTTATGCGTGGGGTCACATTTTCAGCATCTGTTAAGATTTGAACTTTTTTTTAGTGTGGGCCAGCCTTGATACAACTAATGGTAGTTTGGTGGTTAAGAGAGCAAGAAGGGTAGAATTAAGGGAGGGGACCTCATGACCTCATGTCAACTCATGTCAAAAGATTTCGAGTCAAACCAGAGCTACCAACAGAGCAATGTGACCATGGATGTTATATGGAAGGCAGTAGGTGATTTGAGGGGGGATGAGGGAGGGCACCATCCTTCTTGTTAGCATATGACCAAAATGTGTCCCTCTTGTTAATCTGATATCACTTTCTATCTCCCAGGTCCAGTCCAGTCCAGACTTAGACATATAACCAGTAAATTACTGAGAATGATGTGGCTATTTTGACTGGTGCAACATCTGTAGCACTGGTTTAGCAAACTCACAGACCAATTTCATGTGTGCAATCATCTTATGTGATGCTACTCTGCCAATCAAATCAGTGCATTCTGATAAGCACTATGACTGTGAGACTAGAGTGAAGACCACACAACCAGAGAGAAAACAGTTGAAGAAATGAATGAGTCAGTGAAAAGTAATTTCATATGGTGAGTTCTAAAGAGAGAAAAGTAGAAAGTGAAAAACAGCTTTTAATCAAGAATCGACAAATTCTTCTTGTTCTTGCCACGGGCAGTTGAAACCAGTGTGTCTCATCATATGTTCAGAGACCATGGCGATTATTAAAAGCAGCAATGTGAAGCATCACAACAAAAGAAAGCACAGAGAATCTTTTGACCAAACAGCAAATAAACATAGATGAAAACTGTCTGTCTCCCCTGTAAAAATGAACAAATCACCTACTGATGGACGGTAACAGTACACACAGAACTGTATGGATCCTAAAGAGAAGGGACCGGAGTGGCCAAAGAACAGACCGCAACAGGCCAGATGCAGAGCAATGCTTCAGGTGTAATCCAAGGCCATGATCCCAAATGAGAGGACAGCACTTACTGGGGTGTGACAGAGATAAAAAGGACACAGTCGCCTTCAAGCCAGAGTCCAAAACAGAACAGGGGAGCCATGTGGAGGCCAGTGGCAGGACAAGCCAGACAAGGGCTAATGAGCTCAGCCAGCATGGTCGTAAACACCAGAACACAGGACCGTGCTAGGGGATTGAGAAAGGGACAAGGACAGCGTTGGGAAGCTGTGTGCTGTTGTTGGAGAGTGTTGAGAGAAAGGCACAAATGTCCAAGTGAGACCCGAAAACAGTGTGGAGGCCAGAGACTTTCCAGGTCTACTGATCTCATCGAGCTGATGGAGGTGAAGCATCAGGAATAAAGAGAATTGGACTGAGGCGGCGTCAGGGGAATATTGTACAGCTATGTTCTCTAAACTGTGGTTTAGGGTGTGTGGCCTGAAATGGGTTTTGGCCTGTGTCTGGTGAGTCCCTACAGTGCATGGCAAGAAAAGACACAGAAATACTATGCACAGCATTAGCATATCCTCAGTATGAGTGAGCTAATTGCACTGTGGGTCCCAAGCTGAAAAGTGTTTACTGATGTACTTGGAGAGGTTACAACACTGAACTATTTGGAGGCGTTGTGAGCTGTTGTTTGACATGATTATTCATAGTTATGAAAATTGAGACTCTCTGTCTCAATGATGAGTGTGGTTAGAGTGATAAAAAGAAAAAGAAGGAGATAATGGGAGAGGCTTAGGGGTTTAGAAATGAGGGAGTTGAGGAGAGGATTTGGTGGTAGGAGATGATGGGTTTATAATCCACAGTTTTTATATAAAATTAGTATAAATACACAATAACAAATGGACAGCCTGAGAGTGTCAGGTGTTAAGTGCAGGATAGGACCTGAGGTTGGCAATATAACTGACAAATAAACAGGTGGTCAAGGGTTAAGGGGGAGGTCTTGGAGTTGAGGTGCAGAGCAGACTCACAGAAAGAGGAAAGTTGGTAGAGTGGGGAGGTCTGGGGAAAGATGGCTTGTGATGATCAGAGTTGTTTTAGACACTCCGAAGCATCATGGGACTGAAGCAAAACAACAAAGCCACTTAAGGCTCCATCTAGAAACTGATTTGTTAGAGCTACAAAAACACACTTGCAGGACCATTAAGGAAATACAACCCCTTCTCTTATCAGTGCCACTATTATTATAACCCCGGAATGTAATTAAGAGTGTGTGCTACAGTTTGCTGAGGCGGACACATTGGCAGACACTTTATCATCAAGCTCAATAAGTTATCCGAGTGTTTTTGGCAAAGTTGCACTATTCCTTATTTATCTAGTTTCACAAATCATGCTCATCTTGAGAACACATACTTCATATACCACAAACACATGATGGAATAACATATGACAGAACCATCTTGGAATCACATTCCTCATCTCTGATGACATTTGGCCCATTCGGACAATCTTTGTTCCAAAACATCCCTGAAAATACAGAGGTCAGTTTGACTCACTGCTAAAATGAGATGTGGTATTCGCTGTGCTGATATGCCAGATTGCCACTCTCCAAGTATGTGTATGTGTGTGTGTGTGTGTGTGTGTGTGTGTGTGTGTGTGTGTGTGTGAGAAAGCAAGAGTGAGGTAAGAGTACAGATTAACCATGGTTGATGATTAATACAACTTGACTTACTGACTTACTGCGAGCAATTATGGCCATGTCTTTTCTCAAGCTTGACTTTCTCACACTCGCTGTGGAACACATGGGGGTTCCTGAAACATGTGTGCACCAAACACACACACATATGCCACAGATCGCCAGCCCACCCTCCGCTCAACCTCAAAACCACAAAGGGTTAAATATAATCAATCTTCTTTAACAATGCTGTCAGGGCACTGTCTGAGTGCGCTGACAGAAACGCACAGATAGTGGCTGCATGCTGATGACGGTGTGTCTGGTGTGTGTGTGTGTACACTTCTGTGAGCCTGTGGACGCAATTCGTATGCTCATGTCAGTGAGTATGGATTTGGATTTGTAAGCCTGTCTTTATATATTTACCAAAAGTATGAGTGTGCACAATGTAGTGCATGTGTATTCAGGTCCACAATGTGTGAGTGTGTGTGTATAAGTTTATGTAGGAACAATCTATGTTTCTATGAGTGTACTGATTGTATTAATACTCTTTTATGTTAGCACTCTTTTCTGTATATGCAAATGTGTGTGCATGTCTGTGTGTGTGCTCCATGTGCACGTTTCTGGATATACTGTACTGTGTGTGTGTGCGTGTGCAGGCATATGTGTGTGCATCTACTTAAAACTCCAACCAAAACCACAGGGCTGAGGGCCATCAGATATTTCCCCCCCCCTGGGCTATGCATGTTTATGTGTGTGTGTGTGTGTGTGTGTGTGTGTGCATTACCTGTGGGGACTTGTGGGATCTCCAGCTGTACTGGTGGCTGTGGAGGCTGGCCAGCAGCACATTCTCATCTGTGTCCACCTGGCCAAAGCGCAGCGTCTCGTGGGTATCGTTACAGATCACGTAGTGGCTGTAGACCAGCTCCTCAGCCTCTGGGTTCCCACTCTGAGAGAAAACAGGGAGATGAGGGGTTAAGGTAGAAAGTATTGGTGGATGGATGGATAAAGAGAAGGAGAAAGAAGAGGGGTGACATGAGAAAATGAGCAAATACTTCCAGGTGTGTATGTTTATAGAGGGTGTATAATGTATATTATGTGTGCAGTGTGTGTGCAGTGTGTGCGCAGTGTGTGTGTGTATAAGCACATTTACAGGTGTCAACAATGTATGTATTCTCAAGATTAAAAATGCACATCTTGGTAGTGCAGCTGTCAGTCAGTAGGAGAAAGAGATGAGTGATATCACCTGTGGGAGCAACACAACCTCAACAGGGGAGTGAATCATATCACAGTCTGACAGCTATCCAAGCTGGAGCAGCTTAGACTAGGCTTTAGGGCCAAATCTACCCCCTGGTCCCACATAAAAACTCCAGGAGGCCTCTCTCCTTACCAAAACCTCAACTCTTTATCTTCCTTCCCAGAGCAACTAAACTTGGTCATTGCTGAGATAAACAGGGTCAGAGATGTCAACTCATTTCAAATGGCAACTCAGTTTGTGTGTGCATGGTTTTTCCTAACATTTTCTCAAAGCTTGGAACATACGTGGGCCACTAAGTAGGCATTCCTGTTAGTTACAGTCATCAATATATTGTGGTTTGTTAGGAGAAAACAATATGGTGGAGTCTGGCCCACCTACAGCCATGGGTCAATGAGAAAGCCTCACAGAAAACTTAAGTCATGCGAGTCGCACAGGGATGCTGTCCACTCATACGTCACCTTGCATGCAAGAGCAAAGAGCTCACTGGCCTGCTATTGAAAACACTGGTCTAACAGGGAGAGGGGAGTGTGTCAAGTCTCCTGCATACAGGAATTCAAGTACACAATTTCAAAACAGCACATAGTTTGCATGTGAGTTGGACAGTGAGTGCGTGGGTGCAAGTGCATGTGTAAGTTTTACTTGAGCTCCTTCCAGAGGCTCTCAAGCCCTGATGGGATCTCTCCTGCACACCCCTCCCTGACTCCTGACGCATATGACTGTGGTTCAGACAGCTTCTCAATAACTACTCAGCTATCCTAACAAAGAGGGACCCCAGCCTGCTGTATACTTTTAAATGGCAGGGGGTTGATGGTTGATGGTTAAAAGAGGCTGGCAGTAAAAGCTCAGAGTTTGACTGCCAAGCACGTTCAGGGTCCTGGGGTTGTTGATGCTATTGAAAACGGATGGGAAAGTTTACACCATTAAAAAGAACACTTGATGATAGATGTGTGTGTGTGAGGGAGAGAGAGGTAGAGAGAGCAAAATATAGACGGGACAGCTGCGACAGTGGGTTCAAATCCATTTCCAGTTTTATAGTGGAACACTATCTGTGCTCCCTTTCGAATCTGACACTGCGATTTACAAACTTCCTGCTGCCATCTTAAGATGCCATCGCTAAGCCCACTCTTTGATGGTATCGTCTTTCCGCTTCGATTCATGAGGCAACATGATACACACATCAGAAAAGCTTCCTGCGGTAATCATAATCACTCTCTGTCTATCCAGGGACTTAAAGTGGACAAATATTAAGACAAAGATATTTAAACAGTCAACATATCTTTCTTGTTAAAGAGCACAAGATGACAGCTTCTTCTTCAGCTGCAGTCCTACCAGGAATCAAAGGATCCATTTCACTAATCCACCCAGATACTATTACTTTAGTTTTCACAGAGTCAGATCTGCATGGCAGAGTAGCACATATATAAATGGCAAGGTACAGTAAAATGTCTGGAAAAAGATTGTAAATAATGACACCCATTCAAAAGAAATACTCATGAAACAAGATACTGTAAAGGAGATAGTGAAACCTGTAAAAGGGACATAATGAAACAATGATCAGATCTAAAATCACCTATATATTCTGTGATAAATGACCCCTCGCCCACACATCTGCTACAAACAAGAACCTGATCTCTCTATCACTTTCCTTCCGGTTGCAAAGAAACATGGGGGGAACGGGTGGAAGAAAAAAAAAATCACAGGAGGAAAATTCCTGTTGTCTCAATTGCACATGTAACTGCCTGTGAACGTTCTGTGAGAAAGCAGAGTGTGTAAATACTACTGGGCTTTTGTGTGGCTTTCCACCAAAGCCACTTCCCTGGGGTTAGGGGCTGGGGGAGCAAAGATTGAAAGTGGGGCTAGGGACAGAAAATTGAAAATGGAAGCATGGGGGCTGAGGTTAGAGTGGTGGGGGGCTGAGGTTGGGGCCATATGGGGCTATCAAGCAAGGAGAAGAAGCAAATGAAGAAGAAAAAAATATATTCTATATTCCTTTTTTTCCTTCATGTTTGGAACCAACGAATCCTCGAAAAGTCTAAAAATCCCTACTTTTATCCTGCTTTTCTTTTCATTTTACACATAACATAAGCTTAATTCGAGTGGTAAATGGACTGCACTTATATATAGCTTTCCTACCTTAACAGACAACTTGTTTTACAATTGGCCTCTGATTTACCCATTGCATGCACGTACACACAAACACACACACACACACACACACACACACACACACACACACACACACACACACACACACACACACACATTTTGTGACAGAGCCACCAAGCAAGGCGCTGGCCTGCCCATCGTCAGGAGCAACTTGAGGTTCTGTATCTCGCTCAAGGAGATGTGGACAGGAGAAGCTGTGTCAACCCTGTTATTCACAGATGATCTGCTCAACTTCCTGAGCCACTGCCAACCTCAATTTTGAGCCATCTACCTGTCGTCAGATCTGTCAGCGAGGACTTGATTGAAGGTTAGAGGAAGAGAAGGTGAGCCTGCTGGCTTGGGAACATGCTGGGTATCATAATCGAAGGAATGCACATTCATATCAATATTAATGACAACCCATTAGGCCTGTGTACTTTTGACTGCCAGAAAGATCTTGGTGATGTTATCATGGGTACAAGAGTAGTCCATGTTACCATGACTACAACTGTACATCATAATGTATTATTGCTGTATGAGAACAAATTACAACCATATACCAAGCAGTATCTTTTAGTTCTATTTATTGCTGTGCATCTGGAAATGCTCCAGCTGTTCTGGTTGCGGTGGTCTGGTATGACCATGTCTGGGTTGCGAGGTTTCAATTGTGTGGTAGTTGAGGAATCTTCTCCACGGTTCAATGCTGACCCTACAGGCCACATCACAACAGGCCTGCCTGCCAGCCTTGACACCAGGAAACATGAAAATCACTGAAACAATTACACACGTAAGGATACATCCTTCTGTTGCGGAAGGACAAAGCCTGTTAACATTTCCAACTGCTTCTGATTACGTTTTCAATTAGGATCAAGTTTTTCTATGCATGGACAATGTGTGCATGAGTGTGCCTGGAATGTAAGCCTCTATCAGATCAAAGATACATTTTAGTTTAACTGGGCGGTCCTTTGCATCCAACCCCATAGTGCACCTCACCACCAGACAGATTGCGCTTAATCACACCCATACAAGGTTTTCTCACCACGTACAAGACTTTGTTTCAGTAAAACTCCAAAAAGGGAAACAATGTTCAATGATATAAGTGTTCACAACTTTCTCCGAGGTGCACCAAATATTTAAGAATACGGTTTTCTAAAAAGTCAGCCTTTTGTACTTGACCTCTCTGTGCCCCTTACTCCAGAACTACCAAACCCACATGCAGCACATTTGCCTTATAATTATGGTGTGTTTTTTCCCTTGTGTTCAGCAAAGTGGTGAAGGCTGGAGGTAGTTAAAAGGTTCTATACAAGTTACAAGGCTGCTGCTGTTTAGACCAATCAAGACAATACAGCAGGCTTAATCATTTTACGAATCAATCCCATACCAGTGAACATGTAAATGCAGCCTTCAAGGGTTGTGTTTGACTGTGTAGTTTAAAAGTGGAGAAGGGTATTTTGAGTGCTTTTGTATGTGTGAGCATTGTATGCTTCTATTTTGGGTCTCATGATACTGGGCAAAGATGGCATTTAAAAAAGCCAAACATATCACCCAATCAGTATCAGCCTTGGCAAAAAGCACACGACCAACTAATATCCTAACTAATCGAGCTTGGCATGTTGTGTAAAGCCCACCATGGATACCAACATGTCCAAAACACTCCAGAAAGGCTGCAATATGACCACTCATTACAACACCACCAACGCTTGAAAGCCTTATTTATGGCTAAATTAACCAGCAGAAATAGGGAACATTCATTGGCTTGCCCTACATGATGAAATGATGAAGCCAAGGGTCAATTATGACTGATTATCCAACACAGTCGGCAAGAGCTTTTGATGAGTCAGTGATGCCACTGAGTGAAAACAAAGGTATTAAACTGCTAGCCAGAACAATCATTTTATAGTAGATTTCCTATACAGCATGTTTAAATTTTATTTTCCACAGGTAAAACACCACAGCTGTTCCTAGAAAAACACAAGTTATTATTTCTCTCACCTAGCAGTGAGAGTCTGTATGCATGTAAAATCATGAGAGTACTTCATGTCTCCAGAGGCCAGTATATGAGTCAGCACAGCCACAGCTGAGCTGAGCCGAGCCATGATAGGGCATACAAAGCCAGAGAGGCCAGGGTGCGTGTATATATGTATGTGTGTGTGTGTGAGTGTGTGTGTGCAGAAGACAACTGGGTGGAGGACTAGGGCCAGATGAAGTCTTGGCAGGTGTCACCACTCAAGTTTTACCGTGTTTTCATGGGCATTACTTCACACACAAATATCCTGGCTACCAGAGGCAGTGCTGAGAGCTGAGAACCGAGAGATGACGAGGACCGTAGGACTAGAAGCCCAAGAACAGACACAGTGTAGCCTCTTAGTCAGAGTTTACAGCAAACCCAAAGGCAGCTCCATCCTGCAAATTTTATTACCACTGGCATACAACCAAACCATTCTCATGAAATCCACTTTGTTGTGAGTTTGTTTAGCTGATACCCCATCTGGGGGAAAAGACCGTCTTTCAGCATATTCTATAAATGCATATGTTTCCTACATACTTCCTCTATGGATTTACTAGCCCCTGGTTTCAAACATAACAGCTATCTGCAAGTGCTAGTGATAAAACAACAGGGCAAATTCCTTGTTACCTTCAATGTGTGAATGTATCCCACTATTTAAATGTACAACTGAAAAAGCCATCCTTAAATACTTTGCAATCTAAGTAATCAGTAAACTATTTTGCTCCTGATATTAGCTGTAAGGAGGGATTTAAAAAAAAAAAAAAAGAGAGAATTACCACCTCGTAGATGTATGCTTCTGTGAAGCTATCAAGTTACAGTTACAGTTACAGTCTGTCCAGACTGGTATGTAGCCATTTGGGCTGACCCTGCGTCAAAGCTTCAGTCATTCCCATCTTAATCAACATCCAAATATGTATTAGAATGCTTAGTTTTTTATTTTGATTTGTTCTTTTACCAGTAAACTGGTGGAGGAAATTGAAAGAAGCCAGCAAGTGTCGGACATAAATGAGGCCAGTGTCCTCAGCGCAGTCATTGACCCTCACTTCAAGCTATTAAACTGGCTGTCTCATAAAGAAAAGGAACATGTGAGACAAAATGCAGGCCGTTATCCAGGGCCAGCAACTGTAGTGAGGTGCTTGCTTTGCATCTAGTAATGCAGCCCCACCCATGGCAATGTGAGTTATTAACAAGTTACAGAAAAACCCTGCATACAATAGTCCACCTTTCAACTTCTCTTCCCTCTCTATCACTCTCTTTCTCAAGCACAGAGTAAGTCTGAGTGGACCCATTGTGTATCGCTGAAGCTTCAGATATTTCCTGGTAATTATCACTGTAGCTTTGAAGGCCAAAAATTCGTATTTGGGACAGCCCTAGTAGCCATGACAGTTGACAATGATTCAAATATTTATGTTGTTGCAAAGAAGCGACAAATTCTAAAACATGAATGCTTCAAGCACATCTTCACCCTGGTAAAACAGAAGATCTATACAACCAGCACAGTTTCAAGATGGGCACCCAAGACCACCAAACTAGTATCTGAATAGATGTCTCCTCTCCAGCGCTTGAGTTATGTCATTGAGTAATGGGCAGAAAAATGTTTTTGCAGAACACTATGATGTCACAATGAAGTTGACCTTTTGGACATAATATGTCATCACTTCATCATTTATCCTATTAGACATTCGTGTAAAATTTTGTCATAATTAGGATACGAATTCTTGAGTTATGGCCAAAAACATGCTTTTGACGTCACAATGACCTTGACCTTTGACCAAATCCTAATCAGAGTCCAAGTGGATGCTTGTGCTTAATTTGAGGAAATTCCCTCAAGCCCTTCTTGAGATATCGCGGTCATGGGAATCAAGATTTGAGGTTAAAGTGACCTTTGACCACCAAAATCCAATCAGTTCACTGTTGAATCCAAGTTCATGTTTTTGCCAAATTTAAAGAAGTTCCTTCAAGGCCCTCTGGTGATATCATGTTCAAGAGAGTGGGACAGATGGGCAGAAGTATAGACAACCTGAAAACATAAAGCCTCTTACTGCGGCTGTCGCCAGCATGGAGGCATAAAAGTTCTTCTTCAGCCATCAGGACCCCTAATATGCTGAATTCTTCCAAAACTCTGCAAGCAGTCAGTAATCTATCATCAACAATGTGCCTGGGTTTTATGCGTCAGTTCATGGAACTTGCACTTGTATTCTTTGGAGTGTGATTAGATATAAAGTGCATTTCAAGGTTATTCTCTGTTACCTGTTGCCAGCTGTGCAGAGCGGTGTCCACAGTATGAATGGCATACTGGCTGATATTGAGAAACACCGGGTCCACAAACACATTCACATCCAAAGTGGTGTTCTGGGGGCAGCAGGTGGCCACAGCCTGGCCCTGAAACACACAAGAAATTTAATTCGAAATTGTTTTCACATTTCTTAACCAATGCTTTGAATCAAATATCAAGACAGATGTAAAATCGACATGAACAGCTGAGATCTACCTGCAGTCCACAAGGCTGGAGAAGCTGAAGGTGTGTTAGGTTTCGGTACTCCAGCAGCTTGCAGTCTAGCTGGGACGAAAAGCTGAACTCCTGACACTGACGTGGTCCATTGCTCCACTGGCGCAGGAAGACCCGCGGCTCCCGAGCACCAATAACCATGAACTCCTGCTCATGAGGTAACTTCCTGTCTGGCAAGAAGGGACGAAGTTGACGAGCTGGAACTGGAGGAGTGAGACACAGCATCCTTGTTAAGAGACTGGACTGTAAGACATATTTGATCAAAACATGGCACACCTATCAGATTATCTAATGATATTTATTTTTTTAATAAAATAGAATAACGATCTTGCCACCTGGGAATATAAAAAATTACATATATAGTTCCAAAAACAAAAGTAATGCATGTATGAATATTATGAGTAGGGACAATATATAATTTTATCTTGGATCGTGATAAAGAACACAATAAATTGATCATAGTGAATTCCCCTCATCTGGATAATTATGCATAGTGTTCAGCAGTGCTGAAAGAGATGACTGGGCACACGGCAATTAAAAGAGACACTGTAAAACCAGGCTTCATACGCACCAACCTCAAAAATGCAAAACATCTTAATTAAATATTGGCATATTTCATATTGAAATATATGATGCCACTTCAAAGAGTTGAAAAGCCTGGCTTCTTTAAGATTGTTTGCTTGTTTTTCACAAAAAAGGATGTTTGCAAAACAAAGTGTGTCCAACGTGTATGGCTATGAAAATATTTTTTCTTGATAAAATGAAAGAAAAAGTGATTCCAGTATGTTTTAGTGCTATTTTAAAAGTTTTAAGCATGTTTTGATGATTATAGTGATAATAACATGAATTGCAGTTATTCTGGCCACCATAATCGTACATGAAATTTTCATACTGTCCTGTGCCTGGTTAAGAGTAATGATTTTTAGAAGGTAGCCATTTATTGCCACAGTATGATGCTGAATGTAAAGTTGTTGAAGTGAATGACTATTGGCTCTGTAATGTCAGGTAACACTATCCACCAAAAAACGTGACATGTTATGATACGAAAAGAAAATATGAAGTCACTTTGTCTAATGGCTAGACCACAATCACTCCTGATAAACCCAATACTCTTTAAACTCAGAGGAGACTTGGTGACTGCATATTCTGTTTCCTACCTGTGCCCAGCTGTTCTAGATGGTGGCAGAGGTGAATGTCGAGCTGTGCTAGTTGAATGGACACACCCAAGGAGGGGACAAACCAGGGTGCAAAGCAGGAGTCCACACGGGTGCAGGCTGCCAAAGCAATTGGAGATACTAACTGATCACAGGGCAGCTGGGACCCACACTCACTGTCCGAACTGGAACACACAAAAAATGCAAAGAAATTAAGACCCAGTATTAACTGAAGGCACTCTGTGAATATGAAATTACTTCATATGAAAACAATTATGAAGAAAAATTAGTAACATATGACTATGATTCAGCTTTTGACACTTTAAAGGAAAAAAACTAGCAAACAGTTATTGATTTTCTATCAAACTTTGTTTTGTAATATCAAAAGCATAGCCACAGCTGCGGAATAATGGCCACAAACATTCTACTCACTAATTAAAATTGGCTGATTCTTATTTGTAGCTAAATGCTTTTGTCTCTTGCCCAGCAAGTTACAAATTGTGTGACATCCTCATCAGAAATCTACAGCGAGACAAACGCTGCAATTATTCAGACACAAGGGAATAAAAAGAGACAACAATATGGAGAGGGCCTCCTTGCTGTCCGAGGCTGTGAGTTTAGGTACGTTATTACTGCCTCAGTTTCCAGGAGAACCTCTCCATGGACATTAATTGCATGTCATGGTTGATGATGTTGAATGGAAGGTAATTGAAGTGAATGACCATTTGCTCTGTAATTTGCTGCTACCATGATCCACCATAAAAACTCCAGCAGGAAACGCTCAAGACCTGAAAAACGCTGGTGCAGCAGAGTGCTCCTTAAAAAGATAAGCATCATATGTTGACAATTTTCATTACTTCCAGTTGGCAGGGCAGCCAAGTTATTTTTCTGGTGGAAACTAAAGTAAGGCAGATGAAACGAGCGAGTAAGGGAAGGGGAATCAATTTTGATCAAAAAAGACAAATAATTTAAACATAAAGGAAATGTAGTGTTTGGACTATGATTGTAATGAAACACAGATGTATATTTTGCTTTACACTGTATCTGGTACTGTAGACTTTTTTCTCTGTTTCTTCTCTTACATGTTTTCTTATTCCTCCCTTTCTGCTCCTCTGGAGCTCTCTAAGCCACACAGAATGTGGGCTTGGCAATTCTCTTCCACTAAAAGTTCTCTAAATCCCAAGAGAAAGTAAAAAGGGGGGAAAGAGAAAAAAGAGAGAGTAAATTAAGATGAGAAAGGAATGAGAAAAGAAGACAGAAAGAAATGAAAAATGGGTGAAGCACAGAAGATGTAACAGGATGCCTGGTGAGACTTGAGAGAGATGAAGAGAGGAAGCCGTGGTAGCGAGAAAAAGGGAGTAAAGGCATGCTCTTTGAGGTGTTACAGAGCTTGGCAGGCCCAGACCAACCTATCCCATCCCAACTCAACCCAGCCCAACCCAGACCAGGCCTAGGAACTTATGAGCCAACCCAAAGGGGGCTTTACTCCTCTTGCTTCCCGTGAGCTTCCCCTCGATTAGATACACTCAAGGTAAGCAGGAAGGAATCCGGATGGGCCCTGACAGGCACTTGGTGTGCTGGGAAATCTCATTAGGCCGATCTGAACGCCTTCCAAGCCCGCTCCCTGCTCCTGCACACCAGATGTGGGGCGAGGGACACATTTGTAGCTCTTTGTGCTCGGCGGCCTGGGTGCGCTCTCTCTCTGCTTTCCCTTACACTGGACGGCACACTTAGTGTAGGTCCACACACATATCTGTGTAGGCATACACACACACTCTCTCATATACAAGCTTGGGGATGCAGCCATGCATATAAGACATACAGATACCCAAAAGCGCAGAGAAACAGTACAAGGTAAAATACAGATTTCCCCCACCTCTGCTCATCTCCTCCCTCTCCATTATTATTCAGTACTATCCTCCACAGGTCTGAGGCCACCAGCTCCTTCTGCTGGTCGGTGAGGCTGAGGCTGGGCAGCTGCAGCTGGCAGGCACTGCTCTCTGAAAGGCTGAACTCTCGGTACGGAACAAAGGCCTGCTGGAGCTCGTCCCAGTACTCTAGGCTGCATGGTACCTGGAAGGAAAGACACAGAAACACTTTACATGTGCATGGATCCTCTCTACCATTCTTAGAGGCAGCAGCATTGCAGAGAAATTACGGTAGTGTCCTTCAACTATAATTCAAGGTCCCTTAAGGGCAAGCAAGTACCCTGTCCAGACGCTGACTCTCTGTGGCTGATTTCGTCTTTGAAGATCAACATTATGAGAACTGACACAACATCATAGATCACAAAAATACTTGTATAAAGCTAAAATGATACAGACCTTGTGGCACTCGTACAACACATACGAAAAAGTACTAAAAGAAAATGCAAGTCTAAAATGGAGTTTTTTGCTGGTTATTGTAGCCCTTTTTTAATTTGCTGAGCAAACATAGTCGGAATAATGGACAACATCTCACACCCTTACTCTTGCTCATGCAAATCCTTGCTAAATATCTGTGGATCAAAAGAACCCTCTCCTCTCTCATATAGAGTCAGAATGCTTCTGAACAAGTTACACACCTCTGCTCACCAGTCAATAAAGGTGGAATTCTATCACCACACCACCTCCTTTCTTCCTGTTTTTTATACAGCCAACTGCTGACAACCATTGAACACAGACTAAGACTGATCACAGATATCTGTTTCTCTCCTGGAGCTTGGAGGAAACCTGAAGGAATGGCTTTCTTGGAGATTTTATGAGGACCCAAAGACACACACTGCTTCTTTGCATCCCTTTGGGTTGCGTTATGGGGTCACATTCACTGAAACTAATTTCCTACCGAGACACTAACTGTGATTGTTGCTGTTGTAGAAATGATGCTGTTTTCTGCCAATGAATCTGATATTTCTTTCTTAAGGTGATGGCTTTGCTCCATCAGATGACAACATTTTTCTTGTTTTTAAATCCCCCACTTAGTCTTCTCTACACACCAGTGGCGTCTTACTATTGTATCCCTCAGTTATTCATCACTGTAACCTGAGGCACCAGTCCAGATAAATGGACTATTATAACCTCCTCAGTGTAACCCTGATTACTCATCAGCACTAGGATTAGTGTAAGGCTTTGTTATTGCACAACAGGTACTACTCCGGGCCTGTGGATCCCCAAGTTACACATAAAGTATTAAGCAACTGCAGTGGTCTGCTAATCATCAAGCATTGATAGTTTACCAACCCTTTCAAGACACGGTGAACCCTTGCCTTAGAGAAGGAAAGAGCAAGTGATTTGTTTAAGGTGTCTGTATTACAACCTTGAATTTTACTCACCTCCAAACCAATTTTTAATTTCTCATCTAGTCGGAAAAAAATACAACTCTTTGACAGCAGACCACCAACGCAGCAATGTGACAACTCATCTCCATAAAAACACTGCATGACCACAGCATAGTTAAACACCAGGCAACTGTATGCTACATGACAGCCATTAGCATTGAAGTCCTGGAGCTGTTTCTCACACTGAATAACAATCAGCTTATGTGAGTGTTCACACATTATGTGATGACTGGTAGGGCTCCATGCACTCCTCTCATATTCTGCCAAAATTAGCATAAATGTGTCTGGTGCTCCTGTGTGAACTAAACCAGGTTCTCAGGTTCCCTCGACCACCTGCACCACTCAGCTACTGATGGATCAGTGGTGGCAGGGAGCTCTTAGCAGCACACCTGAAGGGTGCCAGGCAGTGAGACATGAGTGTGCATGTGTGTATGTGTGTGTATATGGGTGAGCGGGGTCATTTGTCTGTGCACATGTCTGTGACAATCCAATTGTTTACCGGAGGTACAGAGCTCCTTGGACACTTACCAAACCCATGGAACTGTCAACAAGTTGGTGTGTGTGGGTGTGTGAAAAGCTTTGTGTTCACAAATTGTGTGTGTTATGTGTCCGTGCATTTGGGGCTGTACTGTTAGGGGGGAATGCATGAGGTAACCGTAGCTTACATCATGTATGAAATGCCACACAGGTTTTCCTGGAATCAACTTCTCATAATTGTACCTGACAGAGTGGTGCACCCGCAACCCCAACACTGAGCCACCGGAGCGGAAACTCACTGAATCTCCGCAGAGAATTCCCAGAACTGCGTTGCTAAAACACAGAGGGTGTTTTTTTTCTTCACCTGTGATATTCTATACACATGACGGCATACAGAAATGAATATGTGAGGTGCATATATGGTACAGTGGAACACATTTGCATGGTTGAATTTGCGTCATGTTCCTTCTGACTTGTAGCCCTGGCCTTGGAGGAGAGCGGAGATGAAATCGATAACAAGCAAGAAAGACTGTTGTAGGATGATGGAAAAAAAAAAAACCTGAATTAAATGTTTTAGCTATGCTGAGTTGGACGTCTGGCAATGGCTATTGGGAGGAGAAGGCACCTGTGTATATGTCAAATGGATTGTGTATATGGGTACAAGAGGAAGACCATGTATAATTGTACATATGAAAGATAATATGCGTGTATACATACTGCCGTATACACAGGTGTGCGTATGCATGTGAGTGCATGATACAGTCTGGGCAGTGTCAGTTTTCTGCTTGATTGTGTGTGTACCTTATCTGATAAACAACATGTAACCCTGAATAGCTGACATTCCCTTGGCTGGAGGGGTCCAATCTGTGTTTTCCTCAAGTGCAAGACAAAGTAGGCCTGGCAGCTACACCTCAGGGCAAAATATCAGCCAAAGGGTTATCTTAAATGTTATCTTAATTTTTGAGACAAGGTTCCATTTTGGAGGTGATTCAAATGCCTGAAAAGCTATGTTTCAAGTAGTTTCAATATCCAAAACTATTTACAAATATATTTAAATCCAGGACTGTTGGCAGCATTGTGTATAGACAGATCTGATTTCCATCCTTGTCACCCAGCCCTGTTTCTGCCAAACCGCAAAACACTATTCAGCATGGAGTTACTTTTCTGGGACCGAATGACCAATCACAGTCTTTCAAAAGCTTAACTAAAGGCAGGCAAACTAAAGCAAATACACAACATATAGAAAAGACTTAAATTTCCATGATCAACCCAGGTGTGATCAGTGCTGAAGTTTAAATATGTCTCTGCAACTGAAGACTCCCCGAGCTCCCTCTGAGGCTGTGGCTGCTGACATCCACAGCCTTGTCTGCCATTACTTTTATTAACAATATCAACACTGCTATTAGGTCTTCTGTTATTTCACTGATGCCTATATGTCTAAAAATTCCACTGCTAGCTACCTCTTATCAGCCAGCAGGCAAATTGAATTGACATCAGCTTGAGCAAATGTTTACTCAGGAGATGTAATGAAAATTGTTCTGAAAATGACTCCCGCTATGCTGTCTCAGGTGGGCTAATATAGGTTAACATTAATCAGTGTGGAAAATCAGGAATAAGCCCATGCTGAGATCTTCATGCTCAACTTTTTTTGTTTTCTCTCTTTAATGCCAAACTTTTAAAAAGGGGGACTGAAGTTTTGGTGGATGAGGTGTAAAAACTCCAGATCAAATTAACCACATGGACAGTCTTTTATTTTTATAGTGCATTAGCTGTGACTAATGCAGGTCTGCTTGAGCACTGTCCCACTAAAATAATAGTTATCTTGGCTAAAATACACTCTTGCTCTTTCTGGTTCAATGGATCACTCTGAAGTGAAATACCCTCTGACTCCCCTCAGATTCTAACTCTCTACAAAAGGTTGCATTTTTTGACTAATTGGGAAAAAATGTACATGAATAAAAAGGGGCGCGCCATGGATGTGAAGCTAATGGTGGACCTGTGTTTCTCATAATAACAACAATGACAGAAACGACAGCTGCAGTTGTGGTTATGGTTGAAGGTTGCTGGTTCATCTCAGGCCATGCAGTTTTTATGATATGGGTCGCAGGCCAGCAGGGCCATGATGGCAGTGCAGAGCCCTGCTGAGACATGAAAAGCAATCCCACAGTGCCATGCACGAAAGCAACAGCAGGGGAGCAGATGGTGTGATGTTTGCTCAGAGCGATTTTGGGCAGCTGCCCAAACAGCGAGTGGATGATCAAATTTATACATTTGCATACTGGGAAAAACTTGTATTAGTAAAAGGCAAATGTGAATGTCTGAGAACAGAGTGTGTTACTTGTGTTTGACTATATGCTGAGACTGAACTGGAACACACTATCTCCTCCTCCTGCTCCCCTGAGCTGGGGTCAGGCTGAATCATAGCTCCTGTGTTTACTCCCTGTTTCTCAGGCTTCAGAACCCCACAGAGAGGCAGAAGGAGGGGAAGACGAACGAGAGGGATGGAAAAAAAGCAGTAAGGACACCTGCTTATGATTCAGAGAACTGGACCACACGGCAGGGAGAAGGTGAGAATGAGTCACCTTCCTCTCTCCTTCTATCCCTTCATCACTTGGGCCCTCTACAGGTGGGAACCCGCGGATGCTCCGTCAGGGATCTGTCGTTTTTAAGCTGCCCCCCCAATCACTCTGACATCGTTCCCCTTCTACTGTGTGTAAAAACAGCGCAGGCAGCAATTTGACTTTGAGTAATGGAAGAAGGTTTGAATTCCCCCTCCGAGATACTGGAACCAGTTGGGAAACCACAACTATTTAAATGCAGGAAATCTTGATTTTATAAAATGTTAATATGATCTGCTCTGGGGACAAGCGAGCAGCATGGCTCAGAGAAGGAGCCCCCCCGACCCCACCTTCATCTGTTCAGCAGGGTGGAGACAGGGAGCAAAGAAGGGGGGGGGGGGACAAAAGTAGGGAAAATAGAGAGAAGAGGAGGAGGAATATAAAGAGGAGATGGAGAAAATATGGAGAAGAGCCACTTCTGTTTTGTTCACCACATGCAATTCTTTTCACAATCCACCTGCTGGTAAACAGCCCTAAATTAGAAAAACATTACTGCCTAAATGATAGAGAGGAATGGCAGGACAGCTCAGTGCTAAACGTCACTCTCCCTCTTACTCCTTATTTCTTTTTCTTTCCCTATGCCTCTCACTTTCCATTTCTCAAAATCTATCAGCCTCCATCTCCGTGTGGCCACATGGTAATTTTAGAGGCCTGAGAAATTATGACTGCCTTCTTTCTCTTTCCTGCTCTCTCTCCTTCTCTCTCTCTCTCTCTACATGTAAAGTAAATGAAATTCCTTCGGAGCTGAAACTGAGCCATTACTGATTTTTGGATTTTAATAGCTGCATTTCCGTTCTCTGTTGCTGGACTTTCTTTTTGGTATTTTGAGAGACTTTGAAGTTTTGTAGAAAGTTAAGAATAATTATTGTTTGCTAGAGGCTGAAATCAATTAAATCTGGGTTCACAACGATTTTGGCTGATGACTGAGAGTTCCTGTTAAAATAACCCCCATGAACCCAAACCTTCGCCTCACACACGACTGGCATGTGAGTGTTTGGACAAAAATATGAGGTAAGACTGACTGTTTAACATATCAGTAAACTGATCCAATTTCTTATAATTACTTTACAATCACTCCTTTAAAAATGTCCATGATACACGATACTGTTTTTAGTGGTGTTGACAAAATGCTTCACAGTAGCTTTCAACAATGCATTCAAACCAGTTTAGCAAATCCACATTGTAAGTGATGTTTTTCATTAATGTTACCAACAATATGGTTGTTAACATGCTCACTGCTATAGCTATCCAAGAGTCCTATTACAAACATTTCTGCCAGTGTGCCTCCAAGGGGTGGTCAGGGGGCCAATGGCCACCCTGATATGATTTCTTGTCCCCCCTGCTACAAGGCCTGGCCCGAGCATTTACATGTCACAGAAACACAAGCAGCAGTATGAGAACATTTAGTCTTTTTACACTGTTTTTTTATGAGTGCAAGGTGCATTTGCCCTTAAAATGCTAACTGATTCTGCCCAACTGTATAGACAATCTTCTTAGCTGTCAATAACAATACTGTAGCTCCCATTTAAATTCTTAGCATTTATTGCTTTCCTCTACAGACAGTGCATCTCACCCTACTACATCTCATCCCCACATGAAGAGGTTTCAGTAATGCTCAGAGCCTCCTCTTTTCACCACTTCCCCTGTGGTAGTCTCATCACCTGATTCCTTTTAACAGACTTGTCAGAAGAGACGGGACCACGCCAGATGACATGAGGAGTGGTGCAGACGATGTGGAAACCACATGTTCATCATCCACTGGTTCCACAACTCCTGCTTTGTAATACACACTCACACAAATATGTCTGCAGTCGTAGGCATCCATATTTACGCACAAACACAGATAGCAGTGGAGATGCAGAAATAAATGCAGGCACCCAACTACTCCGCCCCGTCATTTGATACACCACTGTCTTGTCCAAGTGTACGACAGATTCTAAATACATGTGAACATGACACGCTGGAATATGCCTGCCAGCTTGTTGTATCTCCTGTCAGTTCAACTCGTCAGCTGGTAAAGAATCATCTCCCTTGAACTAGAGAAAGTGTGTTTTTCCACACAGAGGCTATTGTAAGCTTCGCAGACAACACCACCTCCATCTGTGACCATCTATCTCCATCCTTCTTGACCCTCCTCTCACTCCATCACTGTTCATCTCTCTCATTCCACTCTTCCTCCCTGTCAGTCTACTCCCATTAACCATCCTCTTTCTATTCTAACTCCGTCTATCATTGCCTCTTCCTCTAATCCTCCCTCCTCCACACACATCAGCGCCATCCCTTCTGTACTGTAACTTAATACGTGGCCAATCAGCTAGAGGCTTTAGAGTTTTGCTCATTACGGACTTTACAGCTGTGGGGCCTCGCTGGGAAGCCAAACATCTGCAGCACCTTCCAATATCTTGTCTCCCGGGTCCACATAAACAGACAGAGGAAAACATCTGTACTGTAGGTGAATGATTGTGGGAGTCCAGGAAAGAATCTGAGCGATAAGGGGAGGATATGGGCAGATGAGAAACTTCTGCCACAGATGGAGAAAAGAAGCAGAAAGTAAAGGAAGAGGAAAGGTAACCTAACCCCAATGCTTGAAAGTGTAATTAAAAAGTCCTTATAAATAGGCTGCAAATGCAATAAAAATTGCTACCATCATTAATTTCAGGATAATGCAATAACATGAAGTTAGAAGATTAACTCCTGATAAATACTATATTTAATGAGAAATGTTTAAAAAACAATATTTTAACAGCTAAATTATTATACCATTTATAAAGTAATTACTACTTACTTACCAGTTATTCTAATAATGTAATGATCCATATCTACAAATTTATTCCAACGTCTTATTTTATTACATTTTTAGTAATCCTTGCATTACATAGCAGTTGTTTCATTATCAGCTTCTGAGGGCTGCTTCTCAGCGACTTTTGAAGACCTTTAGCTACATAAAATTAAATTTAAAACCACAGAAATTAAACTAATGTCTAACAAAACATAGCTAATACAAGCTGGGAAACTTTATATGAGTAGGAAAAGAACTTTCAGGAACGTGACTGGAATAAGCTTAGCTAAGAGGATGACAAAAACATGTTTTGCCTATTGTATTACCAGAAATTCCTTTCCTAATTGCATGGCCAAAAAAATAAGACTGCAGTTAAAACAGTGTCAGGAAATTTTACCTAAAAATAGCATATTTCTGCTCCAGGAAAAAAGAGAGATTACAGAGGAGGATCAGAAGGATGTGATTTGGGACCCAGTTTGCCTTCCAGGATGATAAGCTGGAAAGTGAGGTGGGGGATAGAGAGGCAGAGGATGAGTGATAGAAGGAAAAGTGGGATGTCCTGTCCCCTACTGAGGCCCTGTAGACTCAGTAGCTGCTACAGATTGCCAAATTATAACCTCATCTGGGGTTGGAGACACCTGGCTATTCACACCAGAGCATGCAAGATGACTTCCACAGCTGTCTGACCATGTATTACATGTTTGGAGGGACAGCAGGGGTCTCTGTCATTCAATAACACATAGAGTATGGAAGTTCTCATGACTCATGTCATGGGAATTATAATGGCCCCCAGTCCAAATCTAAGACAGTTTATTTCTCTTTCAATGCAGGTGATGTTAAGCAGGGAGCAGTGAGAGACATGAGTGGATTCACTTCTCAGTGTATGCCTCGTTCGCCTTCCTTTTAGTAGCCCGGACTCTAGAAGACCACAACATATCCTGAATCAAGTAATGATTAAAACATTTGGTTGCTTAACACATTACCTCTCCTTGCTTCCAAATGTATTCACAATATGCTGTGTGTTTATGTTTGAGAAGGGTTTTCAGAATAACAGTAGACATGGAGGAGTGTAATGCGAAGAGAGAGCACCTGGAAGTCTGTTTGAAATGTTTTGGGAGAACGCATTTGTTCTAATCAAGAGATACATGTATGTGTGTCTGTCTCTAACCTGCAGGGCGTCCCCCAGGTCGGCAGTGCTGATCTCAGGGTCCTCTGTGGTGTTGAAAGGGACAGGCGTTATCCTGACAAAGGTAAGGACGCGGGGTTCAGGGTACCTCCACAGCATCACCCCTGGGCTGTCCTCCGTCTCGCTGTAGAACACCACCTCATGGGGTCCTGGCAGTTTCTGGGACGCTGCCAGAAAAGACGAATAAAGATAATAATATCAGAATAACTTCACTTTAATCTGTCAGTGAACTAAAAGTGTTTACACTGTACTATACATAAGACATAAAAGACATCAAAAAGAGGGAAAACATGTGGTGAGGGGCGAAGAGAATAAGAAAATGAGGAGAAGAGAAGAGTTGAAACAAGGAAAAAAGATGATGTGACTGGAACGCAGAGAATAAACAGGAAGGAATCCATATACTTTATATTTTAAGATACAGCAGATTACTAGTTTACTGTACTACACTCCTCCAGTATAAATAAGTACTACACAAGATTTTAGAACAAAAAGCCTGTTTCAAGGCTTAACTGACCTGCTTGAACATTTACAGATGCTTGAGGAAGAAAGAAACACACAGAGGTTAGAATATTGTGACTGAAGTTCTGATGTGTTCTCAAGTGGGATGTACATTTTCGCATTATGAAATTTATTGAATGTGGCAATAAAAAACAACAACAACAACCTAACTTTGACTTGCGAACATCTTTGGTGCTGTGATATTATTTCTACTATGGAATCTGAACCCTCCAAAACAATATCTCCAAAAAGAGCACTGTCGATGTTTCCACGCTTTCAGATTGTTTACATGCGTAAGAAGCCGTATATAAACAACGTGGCTGGGTAAACATTTTTGCTATTGAGTAAACAGCCATTGATTGAACCATGCCAAGCACCTGCAAAAGCTGGATAACACTGGATCTAAACTTCTGAGTGGTGTTTGACTTAAGTCGTGGCTGCTGTTTGGGATTCAAGTCCTTTGGAAAAATGTTTATTTGAAAAAAACAGTCAAGCAGAGAACTGCTGCTTTGTTTGGCCCCTGGGGGTACAAACACTGAGAGTCTCTTTCCAGAAAACACATTTCAAGGGGCAGCGAAATCTGTCTGTGGCTAATTTTTCCCTTTTTGTGAAGCAGCGAGCTGCCCACTTGAAGGTGGACAGTGTATTGTTCTTGTGCAAAAAGGGTGGATGAAAGAAAAAAACAGACACTTTTATGGTTTTGCTTTCTTTCCAGTTAGCTTGAACTTAGAGAAAGTGAGAAACAGGGACAGAGACTCCCTCCACCCTCCCTTCAATCCATCTTTCATCTCCTCCTCTGTCCATCCATCCCATCTGTCCCTGTGTCAGGCCCCTAGGGGCCACTCGCTGTGCTCTGCACTCCGGGGCCTGGTTTTCTCTGGCTGTTGACAACATGTTGCCGACAGATTTTGCTCTCTTTTCTAGTTCACTACTGTACGTTCTCCTGCTTCAGCCAGCATATTAAATGCATCAAAGACCAGTGGAACAGTGCAACAAACAAAGACTCAACCACAGCTGACAGAGTGGACGGCTGGTCTACAGCCAGAGAGAAGTTTGATCCTCTGTGTATAATGTTCTTGTGTGTATCTGCGTGTGTGCACAGAGAGGACAGCACACACAAAGCACAAAGAGAGGGAATAAACAGCATGTTACTCAGAGTGGAACCAGGCAGACATGTCCGATGAAACTTTTTTCCACAGACGGCTTTGATCTGACTTTGATTTAAGACAATGTGTATCTTAAGTGACATCTCACTTTGGCACAAAGGTTCCTTTTTTTTGTTAGTACCAACTCAGTTACATGACTTTATGAATAACTGACCATGGTTACTCTTCATCCTGTGGATTCAAGGACCAGTGCTTACCCTGGTTCCAACCATTTTGAGAACCTTATCAAGAAAAAGCAGGAATAATGTATGTCCAGGTAATAATATTTCACTCCAAGTCTTGGACAATTCTTTTTGTCTGTTTGCGACTACTGCTTTGAATGCATGCTGATAAAGCAAACAGCCGTCAGGCAGTTTGGGGCACTGCTGAACATCTAGTTAGGTGCTGTTCTGAGAAATGAAAAGTTCCACAAAGCAATCATGTCAAGTGAAATGGGATTTAGAGTATAGTAACCAGCACTTTACCTAGATTTAAGCCTGGCTACACCATCAGCCCCTTGTCATCTTTGTATGAGATCAGCATGCACTATGTAAACATTCACCTGAGTCCTGAATGTATTGAAAATGCCCTGTACGCAGATCATCGGAGCTGTGCTCTGTCCGAGGAGAGGGAGAGCCCGGAGAGGGAGGTGGCTGGATGTGGCAGGTCTTTCCCTTGGAACAGCTATCAGCTGAATCTGATGCTTTCTGGAGGTTTAGGTACACCTGTAGGTGCTCCTCCACCAGCTTCAGGCAGATCAGATGTTCCTGGCCCCAGAAGACCTGTCGAGACAGAAGCACAGACTGTAAGGTGGTTGGCAGAGAACATTAATTAAAGAGTGTGGGATGGGGAAAAAGAGGAGACAGAGGCCAACAGGGATGAGAGGGTAGAGAGATTGAAAGACAAAGAGTGACATAGACAAAGTAAGTAAAAAAGAGAAAAAAAAACAGTGTGATAAGGGAAATGCTAGACAGTGACACCGACTCACAGCTGATGCATAAATACGTAGGTTGAGAATTATTTAACATTCTTTTCCAAAACAGGAAGAGAAGCAGTCAGGGTTACCCTCGTCATCACCCCTTCATATCCTTTCTAACATTACCCAACACAACCTCACATCCTCCTTACTTACCCGCGGCATTCCCCTTCCCGTGCTCCATCAAAGCGAGTCTGCCTGGGGTTTGGACTATGGACCAGGAATCTCTGAGTCAAAAACTCTTCACACATGGAGCTGCCTGCCTGCTTGCCCGCTACTCACTAGCTTGCAAGGGTGGGTTATGACTAAACTCTAAAAACAGGAAAATTTGGGGATTTTTTTCCCAGGTTTTTGGAAAGAGAGCACGAGAAGAAGGAATCGGAAGGAATTCCGGTGGTTTTTGTACAGCACTTGATTAAAACACCACAAATGCCAATATTTACAGTGGGAAATGTATGATTACGTATTAAGTGTTGAGTTACGAGTCATGTTTCTGTTAATGGGCACGCAATAAAAGCATTAAGGGAACCATTGAAAAAGGGGGAGGGGTAGGGGGTTCCCCCTGAAGAAGTAATGTGGAATAATACATTAGTAATAATGCGCTCAGTTAGTCACATTGAAAAGGGACTTTTTGGTGTGGACATTATGTAACTTCTGACAGGAAAAAAGGCACACATAAGATATAACCCCCCCTAAAAATAGCCTAATATTCCACCATTTAAGCAACAGATGTGACTCAAATCTACGGTGGAATTACAGCATGCAATTCCTACTGTCATCACTTTAGCTGCAAAGAGGACAGAAGCAGAGTTAAAGAGGAGTGTGATGAGCTGTGCCTGTGGGTGTCAGCTTATGAATACTGTAAGGATTCATTTGGAAACCAAAGGCACTCAAGCTGAGGTGATGTTTAAATGGGCAGCCTTGTGTTTGGAGGCTGGTCTTTAACTGAAAGAGCCTGGCTGAGGCCCTCGGGTTTCAGTGTCCTTGAGCAAGACACTGAATTCTAACCAGGTGTAGAGGTGCTGATCTGACCCTGACCTCTACAAACTGTGCCTGTGCTGGATGATAAACCTTGTGACTGAGGATGCTGAATTGATGTCATGGGTATTCAAACCTGCAGCAGGCCTCCCTTCAGGTCCAGCAGCAGTTTAGGGGGGCCAGGCTCATGTCCAGGGCTACCGCTGTGCCGACACCACCGAGCCTCCAGGGAGGTGCTGCAGGAGAACGGCCCCAGCAGGAGGCGGTTCCGGTCCTTTAGCCCTGTTCTCACCAACACATCTTGCAGCTCCAGCTGCATAGACGCAGCCTGAACTGCATCTAGGAAGACAGAAGGAGTAGCAATGAATGGCATGAGGAGCACAGGGTGGAACTACAGAGGGAAAACATATGTCAAAAAAAATTTGGACTATGATGAGGAAAAATCTCTTGTCAGCGATACACTATGTTCTAAGTGGTTTGTGGATAAAGTAGAAGCAGTTACTAATTTATTGATTACACATTGGAAAAAAAGAGGAGAGAGAGGGTTCAAATAAATGGGAAAATGTCTACAATAAATACTAGTTTCAAAGTGAAATATTGATATCTTTAATTATATATAAAAACTAACACAGTTCATTGATACAAGTGCAACAAAGCCAGATGAAACTGAAACACATAAACAATTCAACCTCAAAATTCAGTTGCACAAATGCAGGCCTGTGTGTTTTCACTGACTTCAACTACAACAGTCTGCCTTTATGCGATATCAAAGTAGCAAAACATACATTACAATTACACAAACCACATCAACGGCTTTCAAACTATTGTATTTATTGAACGTTATTAACACTTGGCTTTGAAAAAGAAGAGCATGATCTGTCATCGTGTCATCTAACAACTATGTGCAGGACCCTGCCTTTGCTTTTATGCTTCTGAAACAATGGTCTGATGACTAATATAGCTTACCAAGTTTACTCATTTTAAGTGGACTACGCACTTAAGTAAGTGATTAATTAGACCAGGTATGAGTTGTCACAGTCATGTGAATATCCAATATTTGGGTCTGTGGCTAAAATGTACAACCATCAGTTAATAATAAGCGCAGATGTGACTCCTGTGCGTCTCTCTAAACAGAGGTGTTCTGGGTTCATGGTTACACCAATTTGAACCTGAACAGATTCAAGTTCAAACTCAGTGTTTCTGTGATTAGGTAAACTGAAGGTTTTAGCAGACATGATGACAGTGAGAAAATCCTGATGGGATCCAGAAAGAGGAGCCAAACACCCACTCATCCTGAAGGAACCAAAAGTAGCAAAAGCCCCAACGTAATAAGGACAGCATTCTGTGTCCTTTCCATTAAAACAGAGATGTGTCACTGTGGTCCCACGCTGTCCTGAACTTGGTCTTTTGGTCCCATAAATCAGTGGACTGAAACCCCCTCTACTTGTCGCTGACATGGGAGGGCTGATCTGGTCAGTTAAAGCTACAGCAGCAGCAGCCCATTTGGAAACCTCAACCCTAGATGACTAATAATGCCCTGAGAAGTAGCTCTTTAAAAATGCCTTTTAACTCTCGAAATTCTCACTCCAGTCTGGCTGTAAGTCTGGGAAAGTAAAAGAATGGAGCGACACACCTGTTTCAGTCCCTAATTTAAAGTTATATGATTTAATTGTTTGACCTTTAAAACAGTTCTGAATAAAGAGTGACATTTTGATAGATACGTTTGATTGTTATATTGAAAACAGCTGTTTTTGTAAACCATGTAGCAAGCAGAGGCACCTCTTCAATGCAACTAGGGGTAACCATCTGTAAAGTGACACACATATATTACATCATATGACATCAGTGAAAACTAGCAGTCAACATATATGGTTAAAAATGGCTTATTCTTTAACAGCTCTACATACAATATAATTTGCATTTATCTCTTAAGTATTGTTCTGTTATTTCCTGTAGATAAAAACCTCACATCCCAGTTTCACAAATATGATATTTCCATGTAGTTCTCTTATATATATAAAACATTCCCTATTTAGTTAGTTGCCCTTTAAGGAACAACTTTTACAACAGTGTGTTTGGGGTTCACTTGGGGTAAATCGGGATAGATGGAAGAGATGGAACAGCGTATGAAGGGAGTGGGGGAGGAGGTGATAAATGAGGAGACAAATAGAGACATAGAGGGAGTGAGAGAGACACAGAACCGGAGGATGTGAGAGTGAGGGCTATGATTTGATGAAGATATGACACATAAGTGTCCTCACATCTTTCCAGGCTCTGTAAACTGACTAAGGAACATCTTATTCAATATTAGAGCGCAATAACACAACGGGGGGGTCCAATGAACGAAGGCTTCTCTTGAATAAATCATTCTGAAGGGAAATATTATACTGGGATGAGTCATTTCTCTCAGGAAAGACACTGTTGATACAAGTTGGCGGTTTACCTGCTAATATCTTCTGCTGTTGTGGCACAGAGAGAGCTGTTAGAGATTACTTACTGAACTGTGGACATCGGGTTTATTTTCATGGCTAGGATTTATTAGACAGCACAAGGGAACTCCCAAACTGGCTTGTTAAAATGGAGGATCTTTCATTCACAAGCACATGTGCATTAAATGCAGACACAGACAGACTCATAGAGAAAAATAAAGCCAAATGTCTGCATACAGACATGTGTAAACTCATATGCACAATCATGCACACCCAGGTGAAAAAGTGGAAACAAATACACCCACATACACATTTGCACACACACAATGTGTATCAAAGCATTCTCTCCTGTCTCACCATGCGTCATGTACAGCCCGGCTGACCACAGCATCCTGGTGCTGAAGCCAGCAGCAGCAGCCAGCACTCTTAACAATCACCCTAATTGGGAGTGGTTTTAATGAGGGGGGATCCCTTTCTTTCTTCATCTCTAACTCCATTCTTCCATCAAGGCTGGACAACAGTCAGAGGCACATTTCTCCATGCTCTCTCGCCATCCCTGCTCTTGCCCTGTATGACCATAGCACCGCTATTTAGATTTGTTTCCAGAGATGTGTCAGCACACAGCCCAGAGACATTACACTGCTCAGCTGTGAAGTACTGCCATAAGAAGGGAGGAGCGCAGGGAATGTTCAGGGGGAAAAAAAGCGCTGGGAAAGTGTTGCAGGATGAGCCAGGCGGTACCTGTGTTTCTGTGTTCGTTTAAATAGAGTATGTAACATCTTTGCAGGTGATGGGTGAAGCCACAAAAAAGAAGGGAAGGAGGAGAAAAGACTGAGAGAAAGAAAAAGAGCATGAAGATGCTTTATGATAGGAAGAAAATAAAGGAGCGGCAGCAACCTTTTTGGGGAGTGTTGACCTTAAGACACATAGTTGCAGTAAGAGAGATGATAAATACTGGATGCCAGTGGACACAACAACAAACACAGATGCAGACAGACACACATGACTGAGGAAAGACCTTTTTACAGACACCAGAAAGAATAACATCGCATAGGGATGAACAAAAATATTGTTAACTGTTAACTAAGACATACACATATACTTACACACACATGCGCACACACACGTACGCAAACACTGGAGTAAACGGACAGCTGTTGTTTTGTGGGCATTTGAGGGGGTTGTACTTTATGTGTTTGGGGTTTATGTAACTGGCTCAGATGGCGCTAAATGAAATAGATCCTGGCATATAAAACACACACACACACACACACACACACACATACACATACACAGTTATACTTCAACTGTTTGTGTTCACATTTCCACAAGACCATTTTACAGACAACAGTACCCTCTACACAAATGACACACACTCTACTCTCATAAACGGACTGTGACACAGCACCAACTAGAGGCTGATACACTGAACACGCACACGCACACACAAACAGGAAAGTAACGTGCAAATGTAAAAAATATTTTTATAATTTAGCAAAACTACCACACAGTGATAAAGATGTACACAGACCTTGTATGTGATAAGTTAGAGGAGGTTAAAAGTATAATCCAGGGGGTCACCATTGGGGAGTAACTACTTACATTTAACAGCCATACATAAATTACAAATAATAAATGTGACTTTTATCTGTTAGAGTTACGAGAAGAACATATGTAGCTAAATTACAGTCACTTATCAAAATGTCAGTAATCAGAAAGGGGAAATATCTAAATATATCATTTTCAATTTATATTGTACTATACAGCATTCATTTTGTTGCTTCGCTTTATGTTGTGCAGGAATGCTTTTTGGTATAATTCTGGACAATTTCTAATGGTTCTCTTGTTTGAATATGTACTGCCTCTCTTCTGCCAATCAAACCTATGCACACTTTTCAAAGTCTGTCATGCCTGTGAGCAGCCACTGTTTCTTTTTCAATAACCCCATCATCATTTGTCATATTTTAGGTAAATATCCACACACTAGGTCATCTATATCTACAAAGTGGTGTTTAAAATGTTGTTGGAGTGCTCTGCTTATTTCACAACCTTTTCGTTTGATGTATCTTAAGCACAGAGAGGACTTTTTTTTTTTCATTCACCAGCAATGCCATGTAGCAAATCTTTGTTGTTCGGTGGCCCGTATCTGTAAGTAATGTGGTTTTGGATGCATCTTCAGACGCAGCCGACCATGCCAAGGAGGATAACCATGTTGTTGGAGAAGAACACCTTTTAGTGCGGAAATTTAAACAATATTTTCCTTCTTAAATCAGAACAGGGCTCTTACTTTACTGTACAGTGTAACACTTGTTTTCTAGCAGTGAAAATGCTATCATCATTGACATTATTTGTGTTTTAAGGACCTTTCAGTTTATTGCCCAATTTAAAAGATTTGCCTGTAAAATAATTAAAAAGTAATTGAATGTAAAAAGATAAACAACTTTGATGAAGTTACAACACTGCAGGGGATTCATTCAGTGTGTGAATGATTGAGCTACGTAATGGAACTACTGTATGTCAGGATGCTGGAAAACATAATTCAGAATCAGCTTTGATCACACATAGATCTGCACACACTAACCTACACCTGCATCTCATGCTCTCACAGAAGACTGCCAGTAAACCACTGCCAGTAAACCAGTGCACACCCTCCGCAGCCTAACGTAAAACCTATGACACTTGAGGAACAAAGTGGGTGGTGGGGAAAAGGGTGGATGGAAATCTTCCTAAAGTGAAATACATTTCTGGCAAACGCTTGGGTAAGATTAGATAGGACCAGAGACATTGATTTACCGTGTCGGTTTCTCCCTGGCAGCCGTTATCTGACCACTGCCTGGCTGATTTATATCCCGAGATGCACTGGTATCAATTAGAAGAAACCTAAAGGAGTCATTACCTAACTAGCAGAGG